AAGGCACGGTTGGAACCACCCCTTGTGTTCCGCCCCGGAGGCCTTAGGTGGCCAGGCAATGTGCACCAGTAAAGAAAAAATCCCCAATTAGGGAGCAGATGACTTGAAGAAATTAGGCTTAGGTAATGGATAAAATGATTTGAGACTACCCAACAGTATTAATTTGTAATTAGTGAGATTGATGATGAGGGCACGGTAGATGATCTGAATGAGGTCAGCTAATGTGTATACGCCCTTTGGGCCTAAGAGACTGCCACGTGGCATTCAAAATGGCGGCCGCCAATTATTTAACAATTTATTATTATTGACCTGAGGCGATCAGCAATTGAGCAATTCAGACAGCAAAAAAATAATACTCTCTCTATTTGAGAGTCTGAAATCACGCACTAAAAGGAGAGAGCTGGAAATTTGAGTTAGTCCTTGCAGCTCCTCGCCCTAAATTTCGGGCCTAAAATGGCGGCCGCAAGTTCGTTTAGTCAAAAAAACGGCACTGTGACCCCAATTAAGGTTCTGGATGGACGGATCGATTACAGGGACCGCGTTTGATTGTCCTTAGTGAATTTCCCCCCCTGCGATCCTCTTTTCGATCGCCAAATTGAAAAGTAAGTAAATAGGCTTCGTTGCCTTTTCCGGCAACCAAAATGGCGCCCGCGAGCAAAACGGACGGCTGGGAAAGGTCCGAAAAGTTGAAAATGCTCCGAACGCAGCACGACAGGCTGCAGGAGCGATCGTTAAGTCCGGGGAGAAAGAACAGCCGTTCTTTTTGTAAAATGATTGATAGGGAGCTTTCCTCCCCCCCAGAGCCCTGGGGAGAAATTAGAAGAAACGGGAAGGGATTTCCCCCCCCCCACACTCCCTTACCTCCCTCAAGGGTAAATTTAAGTTAGTACTGATCCCAGTGCTAAGAAATTTTTAAAAGGGAAATTCAAATTGGTAATTAGGATTATTAGAAGGGATTTTTGAGGGGAAAGGAGAATTCACCAAAGGCTTTCTAACCTGCTTTGACTGAGAGCCAAACCAGACACGTCGTCAAGAGCTGAGACCAAGTTAAAGACTGACCAGCAAGAGGGGGCGTGTCAAGTTTGACTACTTGGTCTCAAGAGCAGGCATCCAATGAAAACCCATGTGTGAATTCTCCATCTCCCGTACTGGAGAATAACCAAATTTTGATTGACCTAAAAATGTAGGAGAAAAATAAAAACTCTGGAAAACAGACATTTACATAGGTTTTTATTTTACATTTTGCAAATCTTTGTGCATTGGCTACATTTTTATTTGCAATAACACAACTAATCTAGTTGAGTCATACCTGTAAATTTCTACTGTAAGCAAGTTCCTCGACATATGGATAGATATATAGAGTATTAAATTTATAGCTTTGGCTAATGGGAAGGTAACAAACTATTCAGTCCTAGTGTCACAATACAGGTCAAAAGACAACCAAGACTCCGGTGGGGGGATTTGGAAGGCCTCGGCCTGGCGGAAGACCTGGTTGGGAGGGAACACTCGGCCAGGATTTCGCCCGGCGGAGGTCCGAAGGATTCGCCCCAGTAGAAGACCTAGCTGGGATAGAGGACGTGGCGAGGGCTTGGGGAGCGGCTCCCTGAATTGACCAACTCCAGGAGGACTGTTTCCCCCCCTTTTTTGGTTCCCTGCTGCCGGACTCATCGCTTCACCCGGAATGTACTCCAGGACGGATCTGCTGGTCCTGCGCGATTCCCCCCTCGCGCAGGCCTGGCCCAGTACAATTCCAAGGGCCTGCCTCGATGAAGGGGTGTGGAGCCCCGAGAGGTGGTATGCAGCAGACAGAGGGGAAAAAAAAATGAAATTAAGAGCTTTTTTAGAGGGGTGTTTTATAAAATTTTTAGGGGGTACGGGGGTGGTTAGGGGGGGCAGGGGGGATGTCTCCCTGAGGCCAAGGTCGGCCATGTCTGAGGGACGCGGCATTAGAATGGTGAGGGGGGAGGTTGGGGGGCTAAGGGAGGGTGGTGT